AAGGGTTAAGATCCCCTTACCGGTCATCTTTTTAAAAAAAAAAAAAAAAAGCTAGAGATTTTCAATCCTTGGATCTAAGAGTTTATGACACAAAATAAACATCAAAATTTGTAGGTGAGTTTTATTTTTCACCCTTATTCCTTCCTTACCTCTTTGAAAATACTTTTGTATCTGTGGTATTTGTGAGAAGATTAATACTCTTCTCCTTAACAAAAGTCTTGGGGCTATTATTAGATGTCTAATTTACCTATCTTACTTAAATCTCTAATTCACCTATTTTCAACATACTCTTCAAATTCATCCAGAGTATTGCTACCAGATTGACCCAAGACAAATTTGACCTATCACCCCTAATTAAAATACATCAGAGGCTACTCATTACTTGCAAACAATGTCCAAATTCCTTAGTATGATTATTCCTAATGTGGCCCACCGTCACTTTTCAATCCCAATGTACCACATTACACTCTCTATTTAGCACCAAACTGCTTGCAGTTCATTTATTCATTATATTCATTTTATAAATATTTACTGAGCATAAATTGTCCATTAGCCAGTGTTAATAAGCATAGGGAATCCTGAAGTGAGCAAGACAAATATAGGCCACCTTCCCACAACTGATAGTCTAGCTTAAAAAGGTTTCATACTGCTTTTTACAGTGCCCTCCTGCTCCCAAATACCTGGCGAATACAACTGACCTCTCAGTTCAAGGCTCAACTCCTCTATGAAATCCCTTCTAACCATTCCCATTGTACCTGATACACACTGCCATCCAAGCACACTTAGCCCTTTATTATAACAATGTATTTACTAGTCTATCTGATCAAAATGGTACACATGCAATGACCATTGCTTATTCATCTTTGAAATGAATGAAAGGACACGGAAATAGAGACTATGAAGATCACATTCTAGCACACTGATGCATTTAATAAATATCTGTCTAGAAATGAAAGATTAAAGGAATTAATTACTTTATTCTTACAAAAAAAATTTCCTTCTTCAGTTATTTCCAAGTTACACTCTACATACTTTAAGTCCTTTAAAGTCAAATCATATATTATTGATCCTGCTTGAGCACATATTAATTACAAAATAAGTTTACTGAGTACATTCTCTAGATCTATAATTCACATCTACTGGGGCATGGTAAGACTCTTAATATAATACTCAGAAAATTGAAATCAACACTAATCACATTAACAGGGCCTTTAAAAAATAATCCATGTATGGTATTAAATTAACTTTATGAATGTATGATTTGAGTCATAAAGCCAATTCACTAATAATATAGGAATACAAAACCTTAGAATTATGGGCCGGCCCGGTGGCGCACTGCTGTAGTGTGCCGCTTAGGAAGCGCGGCTGCGCTCCCGCCGAGGGTTCGGATCCCACATACAGACTGGTTCCCGCTCA